CAATTCCGACCCACAGCGCCCCTAGAGGACAGAGTGGAACTGCCCACAGGGTCTCCAAGGCTGTCAATCTTCAGGAAGCAAAGCCCAAACCACACCCACTGCCCTGGAGTCCATTCTGACCCACAGCGCCCCTAGAGGACAGAGTGGAACTGCCCACAGGATCTCCAAGGCTGTCAATCTTCACAGAAGCACACTGCCTCACCTTTCCCCGCCGAGGTGCAGTCAGTGGGTTCAAATCCTTTAAACACTGTGCCACCAGAGCTCCTCCCTAAACGACCAGACCAGTGTCCTTATAAAAGAAAGGACACACAGACACACAGAGAGGAGGTGGCCATGTAACTATGGAGGCACAGGTTATGATGTTGCAGCCACAGCCCAGGAGCAGCTGGGACCACCAGAGGCTGGAGGAGACAGGAAGGACCCTCCCCTAGGGCCTCTGGGGAGCCAAGCCTGCTGACACAGGATTTCCGCGGGGAGCAGGCAGGTGAGAGGTGGCTGATGAGTTCTAGCTGGAAGCCCAGCTTTCTGTTCTTTGTTACAATGTTTCCAGCACACTCCTGGGATGGTTTGCAGAGCTGTTCTGGGGAAAGGGGTGTCATCCCTGGGGGCACGCACATGCAGTCTGGGGGTGCTTCAGGGTGACTGCCCCACACGAATTCTAGTCTCTGACCCCGCTGGAGAGAAGAGAGCAGAAAGGGGACCTACCTTGGGAGTCTCTGGTGGCTGACTCAATTATCCCGTGGCCAATGCAATTTGGAGACAAATAAATCCAATAAGCCAGAAACGTGGATGACCCAGGACCGCCAGGCGGAGCCTCAGGAAAGCCTCCGGATGAGACCGGCAGGGCACGGGCAGAAGAAGTGTTGGATGCCTCCCCCCACGCGCTCACTGAGGCTGCTGCCACCTGGAGGGATGGAGCCCTGAGCCTGGGGCCCTCGCAGCAGCCCTGGCAGTAACTGATGTAATCCCTGGTGCAGATGGGGAAACTGAGGCACAGAGCAGGAGCAGCCCGGGCCACATGGTGCACAAGAGGCAAGGATTCCAACCACAGGGCTCCTCCTGGGTGTCTGCACCCCGTCAGGACCAGGAGACCTGTGGGTATGTGGCGGCACTGGCCGGGGACGCAGGGCCAGCCCAGGCTTTAGGCAGACTCCCCAGAGCAGCGCCCGCCTCAGCCACAAAGGGAGTACACGTTGAGTTGCAGCTTCCCCCCAGCTAGCTGTGGGCTCCACCGGGGCAGAACCCAGCTGCGGCCCACCCCACCACAAACCTCAACACCCTAATGCCCATCACGGTGGCAAGCCAGCACCCCGGCACCCCAGCACCTGCAGGCTGAGGCTGTGAGGTCAGGGTGGCCCAAGGTCACCAAACTTGAACCGAGTCACAGGCTCTGTGTCCTCCTGACAGGCCGTGGGTTCCAGCAGATTCCCTGGGTCTGTGGTTCCCCGGGCAGGACCAGCCTAGGGTCTGCATCTCCTGCTAAGAGGGTGTGCGTGGGGACGGCCGAGAGGAGTCCTGGAGCCCAGGCCGAAGCCGCAGGTTGGTGAGACACCCGGACCAGACCACCTCCAGGGGCACCTAAGGCAAAGGGAAGCCCACGTTGGCCGCATTTGGCGGCCAATGGCGCCCCCTGCTGGCCGACTCGGGCATCGCCCTGGCGCTCTGTGTTCTCTCCCCAGGACCCGATGCGCTTCCGCCCATTGGCCTGAGCCCCACAGCCAGGCCCTCAGTGGCCCTGGGGCACCGTCCCCTGTGCCTCCCGTGCGAGAGGGCCTATTCTAACTTCCCATTAAAGAGAACGTCCTCCTGGCTGGGCCTGGGCACCTTGCATTTGGAACACCCAAGAAGCCAGAAACGTGGACGACCCGGGACCCCCAGGCAGAGCCTCGGGGAAGCCTCCGGATGAGGCCGGCAGGGCACGGGCAGAAGAAGCCGGGCGGATCTGAGGCTTCTGGCCAGCTCTGGCTGGTCACCAGGCCTCCCCTCTCCTTCCAGAGTGTCAGCCGGGAAGCCCTGTGGGCCTGGCCCGGGTCTCAGGGCCACACGTAGTGACAGGGCCCGTGCTGGAGCGACAAGGGGGCGGAGGGAGGGTCCCCATCTAGGGTTAAAGGGTTGTCACTGCAGGGCGCACACCCTGAAGCCTCAGGTCCCGCTTCCCGGACTGCCCCGGGAGGACAGGGCCCGCGCCTGCGCTGCCCACGGCGGAGCAAAGCCAAACCAGGACAAGGCCGCGGAAACGGCCCCAGGAACGAATGAATGAGCGCGGGGACGGATGGATGCAGGGGTGGGGGGCAGGCAGCAGTACAAGCCCACCCCCAGCCCGTGCCCCGAGATGTTTCCATTGTAAACACAGAGGGGGAGACCCCAGCAGATGGCCCTGCCTGGCCCGAGGGTCCGCCAAAGGGCCGTGACCCCTTTGCCCCTGTTTCTGCGTCCTTGGAGGCGCCTGGCCCTTTAAGAAGGAAGTTCTGGGGGCGGGGGCATCCCTGTTGCCCAGCAACCGGAAAGCTTCCTGTGTACGGTGTTGCCCGGGCGACCGGGAGCTGCGTCCTGCTTGGAGCTGAGCAGGCGGAGCTGTCTGGCTGACCGCCCGGTCCTCGTTTCTTGGCTGAGCCCGGGGACTGACGGCCGCGCCATGGCGCAGACCGACGTGCTCCTGACCCAGGAGCCCGCCCCGCAGACGGTGCAGGTGTGCGACCTGCCTCGCAAGGTGTACGATGTGGCGCGCAACACCGGCGCCTACACGTCGGCGGGCCTGGCCACGGCGGGCTTCCGCACCGCCAAGTACTTGGTGGACGAGTGGTTTCAGAACTGCTACGCGCGCTACCACCAGGCCTTCGCCGACCGCGACCAGTCGGAGCGGCAGCGCCACGAGAGCCGGCAGCTGGCGGCCGAGACGGAGGCGCTGGCGCAGCGCGCGCAGGCGGACAGCACGCGCAGGGTGGGGCAGCGGCTGCAGGACAGCCACGGCTGGAAGTCGGAGCTGCAGCGCCAGGTCGAGGAGCTCCTGGCGGAGACCCGGCTGCTGCTGGAAGAGAAGCTGCGCCTGCAGCGCGCCCTGGGCGCCACGGAGCTGCCCTACTCCATCGCCACCGACAACCTGCAGTGCCGGGAGCGCCGCCAGCACCCTGACCTCGTGCGCGACTGCGTGGAGGTGGAGCTGCTGAAGGTGCCAGGCGCACGGAGCCCGGGGAGCGCGCACCTGCCGAGCCCCGGCCCACGCCCACCCGGGCTGGGCGCACCCCTCTGCCTGGACCTCCGGGCCCCTCTCCAGCCCACATCCCGTCCACCGCCCGCCCAGTAATTAAAACGCTGTAAACACGACAAGGCTAGGAGCCCTGGTGGTGCAGGTGTAAGCACTAGGCTACTAACCAAAAGGTCAGCGGTTTGAAGCCACTTCAAGGGAGAAAGATGAGGCAGGCGTTTCAGTGAAGAGTGACAGCCCTGGAGATCCTGTGGGCAGTTCCACTCTGTCCTCTAGGGGCGCTGTGGGTCAGAATGGACTCCATGGCAGTGGGTGTGGTTTGGGCTTTGCTTCTGTGAAGATTGACAGCCTTAGAGACCCTGTGGGCAGTTCCACTCTGTCCTCTAGGGGCGCTGTGTGTCGTAATGGACTCCACAGCAGTGGGTGTGGTTTGGGCTTTGCTCCTGTGAAGACTGACAGCCTTGGAGACACTGTGGTGCAGTTCCACTCTGTCCTCTAGGGGCGCTGTGGGTCGGAATGGACTCTACAGCAGTGGGTGTGGTTTGGGCTTTGCTGCTATAAAGATTGACAGCCTGGGAGACCCTGTGGGCAGTTCCACTCTGTCCTCTAGGGGCGCTGTGTGTTGTAATGGACTCCACAGCAGTGGGTGTGGTTTGGGCTTTGCTTCAGTGAAGACTGACAGTCTTGGAGACCTTGTGGGCAGTTCCACTCTGTCCTCTAGGGGCGCTGTGGGTCGGACTGGACTCCAGGGCAGTGGGTGTGGTTTGGGCTTTGCTTCTGTGAAGATTGACAGCCTTGGAGACCCTGTGGGCAGCTCCACTCTGTCCTCTAGGGGCGCTGTGGGTCGGACTGGACTCCAGGCAGTGGGTGTGGTTCCTGCTTTTTTAAACACCAGGCAGGACCAGGTCGGGCCCACAGAGCAGGATTGTAGAACTAGATACACACACAAGGGTGCTCAGTATTCCACGAGGATGCACTTGGATCAGCAGGGAGAAGAATCCAACACAGAAAAGGAAGCCATCAGTGGACAAGAAAGAAGCATAGCTCTGGGGATGTTCTTGGGGCTAGAGAGCCTGTGCAGGCAGGAAGCCCTGAGGGGTGGCCCAGGGGACATCTGGTCCCCCAGGGGTCAGGAACCAACAGGAAGGCAGACAGCCCTCAGCTCACTGGACAAGCCACAGGGAGGGCTCCCAGAATCATGGGGGCTAAGTCCCAGCCATGTGGGAACCACTCTGGGAGGACCCTCTCTGCAGCCCCTGAAGCCTCTGGGAAAGATGCCCGTCTGACAGTGGCCCAGAAACTATCTTAAGCCAAGAAAAACCAAACTCCCTGCTGTGGAGTCAGGTCCAACTCACTGCGACCCCTCTTTGGGTTTCCAACGCAGTATCTCTGTGGAATTAGATTGCCCAACCTTCCTTCTGAGGAGTGGCTGGTGGGTTTGAACCACCAGCCGTCTGGTTAGCAGTCAGATGCCATTCTAGAACCCCTCAATGAACCCAGTGACAGAGACAGGCCCATGTCCCCATTCTGCAGGACAAAGGTGGGGTGGCTGGCCCACCTGGTCTGAGCCCCAGTGCCCCATCACCTCCACCTCTGCTCCCCTGGGCGTTTGGGAACTGACCGTGGGCGGGTCGCCCAGTCCTCCAGAGACGTGCCCGGAGCCCCGGGAGGCTCGGTGGGCGCAGGGCCAAGCACAGGTGGGGCTTCTCTCTCTGCAGGAGGCTGAGCTCATCAGAAACATCCAGGAGCTTCTGAAAAGGACCATCCTGCAGGCCATAAACCAGATCCGGTGGGTGCGCCGCACGCCAGCGTGACCCCCGTACCACAGGGCCAGCCTGGGGCTCAGAGACGGCAGGGGGTTACCCTGGAGCACAGGGACAAGGGAGGGCCCCGGCAGGCTGGTGGGGCCCCAGACAGGGGCGCGAGGCCCTAGTATCCAGGGCCAGGCTAGCACAGCCCAGAGACTTGGGCAGCTGTTCCTGGATGGGGCTCACCAGGCGGGGACCCCAGAGGCTGTGGGTCCTGCACTGGGCAGCTGAAGCTGTGCTCTGAGCCCCCCTGAAGCTGAGAATTGGGGTCTCAAGGGTGCCCAGTGGCCCTAGGATGGGGTGGCCAGTGGCCGCAGGAAGGGGTGCCCGGTGGTCTCGGGATGTCTTGGGAAGGGAGGCCCCGCCCCCGCGCCAGCGCAGACGCAGCGTGGTCCCTGCCCCCAGGCTGAACCGAGAACAGAAGGAGACGTGTGAGATGGACTGGTCCGACAAGGTGGAGGCCTACAACATGGATGAAACCTGCTCCCGCTACCACAACCAGTGCACCGAGGTGCAGTTCCACCCGCACTCGGCCCGGCTGGAGGAGAGGTAGGCCCCGGCCCGCGGCGGGCAGGGGCCCTGCGCCCACCTGCGCGCGAACTCCCGTGCTCAGCCGCGCCCTGCTGGGGGACGCCGTCCGTCCACGCTCCCTGCTCGCTTCCCCCTGGAAGCAGCCTCCTTTGCTGGGCCATCCTCCCCCAGCCCCGCTGGTCCCAAGGCCCTCACCGCCAAGGTCCCTTGTGCAGCTCTGTGGACGGTGGGGAGGCCGCTCGCCCGTGAGGCTGCACTTCCACGCGTGGCAGGCAGAGGGCGCGCGGTCACCGTGCATTGCAGCAGCTCTGGGCGGGCGTCTGGTGGGTTCGTGCGGGGCGCCTGCAGAGGGCGCCTGTGGGAGCGCAGGGGACGCAGAGTGTGCGCAGGGGTGCGGACTCGCCAGGGTGGGGTGGGCGACTGTGGAAACGCAGGAGCCCAGGGGGTGCAGCGGGGTCCGGGGTCGCTGAGTCCGGAGGGGCGCAGGCACGGCCTGGCGGGCCTGGAGCCGTTGGCGGGTGACCCCCACCGACGGAGGTGCCGGCCGCTCCCGCCTCCCGGCCCGCAGCGCCTCCACGCCTGAGACTTGGGCCAAGTTCACCCGGGACAATCTGTACCGCGCCGAGCGTGAGCGCCTGGCCTCTGTCAACCTGCGGCAGCTTATAGACTCCATTCTTCGGGACACGTCCGAGGACCTGCGGCTGCAGTGCGACGCCGTGAACCTGGCCTTCGGGCGTCGCTGCGAGGAGCTGGAGGACGCGCGCCACAAGCTGGACCATCATCTGCGCAAGGTGATGCCGCCTGCTCGGTTCTCCCAAGCCACGCCCACACCACCAGACCACGCCCAGCCTTACTCAGGCCACCCCACATCAAGACCACGCCCCATCCGTCCAGACCACGCCCAGGCTGGCTCAGGCCCCACCCACACCACCAGACCACGCCTGACCCGCCCAGCGTCTGGCCACCTAGACCAAGCCCCTCGTTTGGGCTGCACCAGGGGCCGCTCTTGCCGTGGTCACGACCTGGGTCCGCCCCTGCACCTCCCTGACCGTCCTTAAGCTGCTGCAAAACCTCGGGGACACTTGGGGTGATTTGCTATTAATGTCTTGGGAGAGGTGACCAGCTGGCAGGGGCCTGGTGACCAGCAGGCGTGTGGAGCCCTCTGGGGTCTGAAATGCCCAAGCCACTCTCCCTTCCTCCACAGCTCCCTGGGCCAATATGCGGGGCTAGCTGCTGGACACAGCTTCAGGGCTCAGGGCCCCCCCCCCCGGAGGGAGGAATACTGGTCTGGGAGACCCCGGCCTCGGCCCAGCCCTGCCCTGGGCCCAGGCTGCCCGGCTGTGGTGCGCACAGAGTTCGTTTTCATGCAGACACTGCGGGAAATCACAGACCAGGAGTACAACGTTGCGGCCCTGAAGCAGGCCATCAAGGACAAGGAGGCCCCCCTGAGGGTGGCTCAGAGCCGCCTCTACCAGCGCTCACACCGGCCCAACGTGGAGCTGTGTCGGGACGCCGCTCAGTTCAGGTGCCCTGCCTGGCCACTCAGCCGCCGCCTCTGGGCAGTCCAGGGGTGGGCACAGCTGACCTTCGAGGCCTGTCCCCGCCTCCCTGGCTCTGTCATACTCTGGGGCTCCCGTGAACCCCCAATACACTGTACACCGCAGATGTTTAGAGAAAGGACAGCAGTGTCCCCCCACACACGCAGAAGCACAAACACTTCCCCTCCAGCCCATCTGAGTGCCGTGCATGAGGGCTCTGGGGGTTGCTGAAAGTGCCAGGAAAACAATGGCACAGTCCACGTGTTCTCACCCCATCTTCCCAGCAGGGGATCTCGGGGTGGTCAGAGCACAGAGCAGAGAGGCCAGGGTGTGGCCCTTCTGTCCCCCTCCTGCCTCCCTGGATGTGACGAGAGTAACCCACGTCTCCCATCTGGGGCATAGGTGGGATCCCACCTTTCCTTTTCCTGATTTATCGAGTGTCCAGTTCCCCTTCTAAGCAACATCTCACTCTTGAGCACGCTGCCTTCCCTGCCTCTCCATTTGTTCAAGACACCACACCAGGGGGCCTCTCTGGATTCAAAGAGGCAGTTGTCAGGAGAGGCTGGTCAGCACACCACTGCCATTGCTAGATAATGGCCACAAGATGTCGCCGTTGGACATGAGTTTCACCCACAGCCCCGATTCTGCTGAGCTCAGAGCTGTGACCTGTCACTTGCACCCAGGGCCTGAGGGGGTTCCCCAGTGGCCTTCCCCGGGGGGCTTTTGGAAACATCGCTGAGCACTTTGGCCAGGACACCCCCCATCTGGACTCACCTCTGAACCTGGGGTCTCACCCCTCCCTGCCCAGGTCAGGCATCCCAGTGACCCTTGCCCCCACCCGTCCCCATGTCTCACCGCCCTCCTCCGGCACCACAGGCTGGTGAGCGAGGTGGAGGACCTGAACACGTCCCTGGCGGCTCTCAAAGAGAAGCTGCTGGAAGCGGAACAGCTGTTGCACAACCTGGAGGACACCCGCATGAGCCTGGAGAGGGACATCGCTGTCAAAAGCAACAGCCTTTTCATTGACCGCCAGAAGTGCATGGCCCGCCGCGCCCACTACCCCACCATCCTCCAGCTGGCTGGCTACCAGTAACCCGCCAGGTGCGGCCTGGGCGCAGGGGCCGGCCCTACACTCTATCCCTTCAGCCCAAATAAAGAGCGTGTTAGCTTTCTACACAGGGTGGGGTCTTCGTCCGACTCTGGCCTGGGCAGTGGGGGTTTCCCGGTGCCTGTGGGTACCAGCATCCCACACACCCCCCCCCCCGCTGTGGGAGACCAGACGTCCCTGTCCTCAGAGCACGTGGTGATGTCCAGTGGGGAATTCAAGGCTAACCTGTGGCCACCCGCAGGTGTCCAGCCCAGAGCATGGCATCTCTGAGTGCTCGCTCACCCAGCAGAGTTGCAGAAAGTCCCTCAGGGTCCTCACGTCTCCCCCTGCTCCTGCCACTGCGCTTCCAAGTTAGCGACCTCTCACACCCCTTCTGCTGGGAGCAGGTGGGACGGAGCGGGGTTGCTCAGGCTGGTCCCCCAATAGCAGTTCCCCGCCTTAGGGCACACAGACAGGGCTGCGCCCCCATGGCAGCGCCCCCTCTGCAGCCCAGCACCCCTCTGCTCCCCGGGGTGAGCGCCCCTCCCCAGCCCGCCTAGCTCTCAACGCCACTGATATGCTCAGGCTCCCCACAGCCCAGATGGGCAGATCGGCTGGGGGTACCGCCAGCATAGGACCCGGGAAGAGATTTTGACCATGTTCTCATCTCTGGAGACCCAGGCCCAGGGGGCTTCTTGTCCCGGCCTTGTCTCCCCTGCCCCCCATCGCAGCCAAGCAGGGAGGTGCAAGTCTCCCCACCCACGTGGACCACACACAGACCCTATATCTTGAGGCAGTCGGCTGCACTGAGTGGCTCGGGGCCAACAAGGTGGCTGTGGGATCGGTGCAGATCAGAAATTGTATCTGACGGTGGGGTGGGGCCTCAGGGAGGGGCCGCATGTAGTGAACAAGTTTGATGGAGCCAAATAGACAGGGCCACCCCCCTTCCACCAGCCTGGCTGCCCTCCTCTCCCCTGGCCTCTCCCACCTCTGGACTCCCGGCCCCAGAAAGCTCAGCTGGAGGGGTACATGCCACCCCCAGACACAGTCCCTCCAGGCTTGGACGCCTGAGAGATACAGCCTGGGAGGGGCTGCTCTTGGGAGTGATTGCACAGCTTGGACAGGGTGGGAATTTGGAGAGAGAGCTGGGTGGGAGGAGGCGAGGGCAAGAGGGCTTCCTGGAGGAGGTGGCAGGCTGGGCTTCAGGGAGTGGTCGGCCTCTCACCTTTTAGCTGCAGCCAAGCCCCTCTGCTCGCTGGCCTCTGAGGACTGTCGGCGCCCTCTCCCTCTGCTGGTTGAGCCCAGTGGGAGGGGGAGGGAAGGGTGGAGGAAGGCCCCCCTGCCCCGGGCCCATTGCCCACCTGGGCAGGGGGGGGTCGAGGCCCCAAGGGAGCTGCTCCCTGCGAGCACACGAGGGCGGCCCCTCCTCCCTGCAGCCCTGGAACCTCCAGGCTGCTGCACCTGGGGATGGAGACCCCTCCCCGTCTCTGTCACCACGGCGGCAGCAGGGGGCTACAAAGACCGAATGGTGCTGCCCGCTCTTGGTAGGTCATTAAAGTTCTCCTCAGGCTGGAGGGCCCTCTCCTCTGTAAAGAGAGGTGACGAGGAGTCGGTGACAAGGGGCAAGGGGTGTCGGACACAGAGCTTGGCCGAGCCTCCCTCTGGGCAGAAGCAGGACTCCTGGAGGCTTGGGGCTGGTTTCTGTGGAATCCATGACGGCCTTGGGGACACACCATCCTCACCCATGTCCCTGCCTTCAGCTTCTGGGCCTCAGCCACTGCGGTGGCCAGGCTCCCCATCCAGGTCCCCGCCTTTTCCAAAGCCTCTCCCCCTGCACCCGCCCCCCACCAGCCAAGGACTGAGTCATGGGGTGGGGGGAGGGGAGGCCTCAGCGCCCCTTCCCACAGGCTCGCCAGCGATATGCCATCCACCCTGGGCGCTGGCGCAGCAGCGGGGACCGGAGGGGGCTGGGCATGGCCGCCAAGGGGTGGCCGCGGCCCCCGCTGTGCCCACCCCAGCCTGCCGAGCTCCCCAGCGCCTGCCCCCCTCCGAGGACGTGTCCATTAGAGGCTGCAGATAATCACCCGGCCGCCTCTGCCACTCAACTCCATTATCACCGCGGCCGTGTGGCGAGGGCCTCCCAAGCCAAGGCAGTGGGCTAATGGGGCAGGGGCCCTGTGGGAAGCTCATTGGGGGCACCTCAGCACAGTCACTGGAGAGGGGACCTGTGGTCTCAGAGCTACCATGGCCTTGGGGGCTAGGACACTGTCCTGGTAATTGACCCCAGGAGGTTAGGGTGTGCCCAGGGCTCCTGAACCCACTGCAGGCTCTGAGGCAGCCTCTCCTCGAGGGGACGTTAGCCGCCCCAAGGGTGAGCGGGGTGCAGAGGGACAGTGACAGAGCCCCACGCAGCGGCCCCTGCAAAGGCTGTGCTGGCCCCAGCTCCCAGGTCCCAGCAGGGACTTGCTCCAAAGACCCGGCACCCCTTCCTCCCTTTGGCCTTCACTCTGTTACAGAGAGGAGCCCTTTCCGCCAGACGCTCCCATTTCACAGGTGGGGACACTAAGGCTCCCAGTCAGACATCCATCTGTCTGTCTTGGCAAGCCCCAGGAGTCAGTCCATCTGACCCTCCTCAAGCTGCCGCCAAACCCCAGGGACATGCAGGGGACGTTTGCTGTTAATGCCACTGGGAGACGTGGGCAACCAGCGGGGCGGCTCTAGGCCAGAGCTGCTGGCCCCTGGAGCCCTCTGGGGACGTGCTGGGAGCCCCGGAGGCAACACCGAGGCAGCACACAGGGCTGCCCGCCCCGCCTGGGGCCTGGGGCCTGGGGCCGTGGGGACGCTGAGCGGGTGGCAGGCGCCCGTTGGCGTTTGGTTCAAACGTGTGCTGAGGCTGCTGCAGGTGGTGGCCAGGCCGGCGGCGAGCTGTCAGCACCCAGCGGCCAGGTGTCCTTGAGCCTGGCACCGGCTCTGGCAGGGGCAGCCCCACGGCCCTGGACGGTGGGACCCCCTTGGTCTCCTGCGCCCCTCCCACCTTGACCCTGCTTCTTCTTGCACAAGCGCCAGGCCAGGGCGGGGAGCGGGACCCGGGAGGGGAGGACCTGCCGGCCGCCAGGTGGTGAGGGGCTGAGCCGGTACGGCCCGGTCCGCGGCAGCCCCCACCCCCGTCCGCACGCTGAGTCACCGCACCGCAGACTGGGCAGCAGGCTTGGTTTCCGCTGACAGGAAGGAGCGCTGCCAGGTGGTAGTGCCCCCTCGCAGCCCGCTGGTCCCAGAGACCCCCAGAGCCCCGCTCCAGGCCCAGGGGTCTGGGCGTGGGGCAGCCCCCAGGCACTGGGAAGGAGCCCTGGGCCCTGGGCCGAGCCGGGCACGGTTGGCAGGTGGGAGAGGGGCTGCAGGCACTGCCGGGCACTTGGGCTCTGCGAGGCTGCCTGTCTGTTGGTCTTGGACGGCCCAGGGGAAGCCGCGGGCGCCGGTGGCATGAAAGGGCTCTTTGAGGGGTGAGGGCAGCGGCAGGAGCCGCCACAGTTAGGAGCTGCACTGCGAACGGTAATGGGTGGGAGGTCTCGCCAGCCGGCCCTGAAAGGCTGGGCTCGAGGGTCTCTGCTCCACCAGACCCCACAGGGCGGGAGGCAGCAACTTGGGCCTGGACCCCCATGGCCCCCAGAGGGCCCAGACTGAACACCCAGACTGGGGGCTCACTGGCCTATCTCCCCAGACCAGCGCCCAGCCTGAGGCTCTGTAGGGCATCTTCTCAGAGCTCCCCTTCCCTCCTCTCCCTCCTCTTCCTGCCTCCTGTGTCTCATTCCT